TCCTATTCTAGAAGTTGAATTGATATAAGTTCAAATGTGGTATTCATAAGTATGTTATTTTTGTTATATAAACTAATAAAATTCGTATAATACTTCCTTTTTTTGTTTTGTCATCCCTTCACTATCCACGTATTTTCAAAGATGTCTTTATTAAAGTAATGAAATATGAAATTATAGTAATATTATTTAAATGAGTGCTATACGAGTGTTTAGAATGGATTTTTAAGTAAGTTAATTTCAGCATTCCTAGAACACTATCCATAAGAATTATACAAAAGGCTCGTTCCCGAAACCTTTTTCTAACACCGGGAATACTCCTGCTCAATATGTTTTACACACACGTGAAAACATTCAAATTGGCACAAATTTTTAATTTAATTCATTGAAGATAAATTAGTGCTTCTCCTATATATCAATCCAAAAAGATTTCGGTAATTTTGGCCATTAGACTTAGTACAACTCGTACCGAAAAAAATGTCCTTCATGTTATAAATGTTGCTCTACATTACATAAATAGGTCTACTTATAATTATAATACTTGTTCGTGAAATATTTGAGACATTTGTACCTACATTCCTAAATTTCATTGTATAAAATGTAAGCATTAAATATACTTATGTACGCAGATACTCATTATTCGCGAACAAAGGGTAAACACATTTCTTACACTATTGTTCTTTATTCAGCATGACAATGCTTACTAACACAACAAAACAACTGGTGTACGATTCGTCCAAATCAGGCGCATCTTCGCCTTTCAGTATGCTTCCGGCTGGTGACCCGCGCACCATTGTCTGAAAAGAAGAACACGCTTACTTGCAAGATTCTTACAATTCGAGGAGGTCTAACGATTCGCACGCTTATTTGTTACTGAACTAAAAGACTCCGAAAAGTTTTGTACTTTTTTAGAGAGAATAAAATACGTGCATATTTTGACACACTAATTACCTGGTAATATTTGTAATTATTATTTATGACGCTAACCTAAGACACTTTGATACAATAGAAATTTTTAAATGGCCGAACGAACTCGATTGGCTGAGTTCCATAATTTATATATTATTGCAATTAAGATGTTTTGATACTTTATAACGTTTTACTTTGATGAAAAATGCATGGAAAAATTGAAAATAAATGAAATTTTGGTGCTACCCGACAATGTTCTCAATTAGGCTGTTGTTGAATGGTGTTACGTGACTAACCACTGGATTTGTAATGTCGTTACAAAACTATAGTGGTAGAAAACATAATAACAACTTTAAACAAGATATTAATGAGTTTACTCAATCAAAGTTCATAAACAGTCTGACCATATTATTTCAAGATATATTTTTATGAACGATTTGTGTATATTTTTTCCACGTAAGTATATAACACTTCAAGAAAAACTATAAACACCATAATAAGCCGACGTCGGGCTCTTGAGTTACCAAAACCTCAGGAGATTGAGTCATCGTCAAAATACAAACCACTAAAGGAGGTCAGTTCCAAACTTGCAAGAGTTTGTATTCACCTACGTGAATCTGGTAAGGAAAGTAATTCCAACAATAAAGATTCAAACTATCATACATTGCTCATTGCTGGTGTGTGTGTTTTTTATGCTTTTACGATGTCTTCCACAAAAAAGAGTTTAATAAATCAAATTTCTTTTCAAATCATTTATTGATAAACAATATTTTTAATGCGCACACTTACATCAGCCAATCCAAAAAAAGTGTAGAAGGGAAAATCTTTGGCGAAATCGAGTTGTACCGGGAAGGGGAGCGATTTCAAGAGCAGAAGTGAGTTATAGTGAGGAAGAAGTGTCGAAAATGTGGCAGTTTATTTGTTTGTAATTTTAAATGATTTTCCAGACGTCTAACACACGCGTCTAACAACACTTAGTAGTTCAAACCATTAAGGAATTATTTCTGGTTCAATCTCAGCCTAATACACACGCACATTACTTCGAAAATAAACTAATGTCCCATAATGCGGACCATTCAATAGCTTTACTTGTGTTGGTGGACCAAATGATTAACTGAAACTTGTCGTGCTACAACAGCATGAACTTTCTCTTATATGTAATGGTTACGTAATATTATGCTACTACTAGAACGTACATTTGTGTGATTTTTGAAAAATGTATAAGTTAAAACAAAATAACGTTTTGTCGTCTTATTCATTGCATTTAGCTCAACAGATTCAAAATGTTTAAAGAAAAAATTGAGAGCAATTTTTGGGAATATATTGTTTAAAAAGTGCCTTTATTTTAAGTAAATTCAGTGAAAACTACTCATATTTTGAAAAGAAATTACCTACAGATATAATTTTGAAGAATAGATCTCATTGACATTAATTTAAGATCGCCAAAAAATAATCTTCACTATTGTACTTGTAAAATGGCGCCGAAAAAATTTAATTTTTACAGTTTTCGAAAATTTTAAAGAAATCTACTAAACTCGGTCTACGCAGCATTATACATTGATCTGAGAGAAAACAAAATACAAATGGTCCATCTAACATTATTTAGTGTAGAAATTTTTGAAAATATCATTAGGTCTTCATCTAAAGCACTCCCCATAGCAGAAATATCCGTTTCAAATTCAAGGGGCCGTAACATTCATTGTTGCATAAGAATCATTACTCTTGTACCTTTAGAGCCACGGCAAAATGTTATGAAGGGGCTAGGACAGTTTTTTGGTTATGCCCGATGGTAATGTAGGGGCATCGGGCCGTGTGTTGCGGGTAGCGTGCGCGCCTGCGGTTTTCTTTGTATCATCATTGCAAACTTTCTCGTCTTTAATCAGTTTGACGCAGGTCAGGGTGGGTAAATTCCTATCCTAGTACACCTATAGAATTCTGTATCGATGGTTTCACATAAATCCAAAATTCCGTCATCAGTATTAGAACAGGTCTCAGAATAAATGTTAGAAAAGTTTAGGGTAAGAAAAGGGTCGAAGACAATGAAACACCGTTGCCTGATAAGTTGCCTACAAATCAGGGGCAAGTGTCGCATTCGTTATTCTAATCTAAATATTATTTTACGATATAACGGCTGAATTAAAGTCGGATTAAAAAAATAATATTTTTCTTGGGATATTGAATCCGCCGTGACAAGTTCTCTATTTTTCATCTTTGTTTTTTTGTGAGATGTAGGTAACTGTGGCAACATGATTTATTATGGTACTGAAATAAAATCAACCTTTCTTTGACAACACATAAATAATGTTTTCTTCGTTCTTTTTTAATTCATTATTAGTGAAAAATCACACCTCGCTCGCATATTGTTCAAGCAAAGTTATGTAAATTACTTATGTATACATTGACAAAAAAGAAGAAGAAAAAACCCAAAACATTTAATATCTCATCCGAATTTCGTTCACATAAACTTTTAGAAAAAATAAATACTCTCTACTTTTAAAAAAAAATGTATGACTCATTCATACTGGTGCCCTGCATTTACAGTACTAGATCTTCCCATAATGGTTTACCTTACTTTCGTTGGATGTTGACGTACATTTAGCTGTCGACGGCCACGACTCCTTCCAGAGTCCGGCGACCAATAGTTCCAGACACGAAATCTTTGTGCGAATTTTTGAAAATAAATATAGTTTAGTCTCAAAATATTCTGTCAATGTCTCATTATATTTTCTATAACTTTTAACGCACTTCCTATTCTAGCAGCTGTAAGTTGCAAAGCATCGACTTGCGTCATTTCGCGGCATTCAAATCCTCTCTGATGTGCCTTTCTCGATGTATCTCTGGCATCCAAACAAAACACTCGCTCTCTTGTTCATTCGATTTCAGGCCAATGGCTTAACCTTGCATAACCTTTCAATTGTTTCATGTCATGCGCACTTCATTCCTAAACACCTTATTTCTTTTCGCCGAGCACGGTTTGTTACTATTGGTTCCAAATAGTTTCACGAATCTTCCTATTGATAAACTATTTTGTTATTGACAGTTTTTAATTTCGATTTTCTAAATTCTTGCGCTTATTGACGCTGTTTTTTCATTGCCACGCATCAATATACACCGTGATGATAAAGGTCGTGGGATACCTCCTAATACTGAGTCGGACCTTCTTTTGCTCGGTTAACTGCAGCAACTGCACGCGACATGGACCCAAGTCGGAAGTCCCCTGCAAAAATATTGAGCAATGCTGTCTCTAGCCGTTAGTGTATGTTAGCCATCCATAATTGCAAATGTGTTGTCGAAGCACACATTAGCCTAGTCCATTCAGAATAAAAACAGTCCACACTACTATGGAGCTACCACCAGCTTCCACAGTGTCTTGTAGACAAATTTGGTTCATGGCTTCCTGGGGTGTCACTGTATTTTGAGTTCTAGGTGAGAACGAAACAATCACAGATCCAGAACCAAAAACTTTTCGCTTCTTCGCGCACTCAAGTAATAATCTATTCCCCCATTCGTCACATACAGTTCTTACTGTTTTTTGACTAAATAAATCTAAATCTAAATGGGAGCGATTCATCCGATCGCATCTTGTTGCCATTTCCATCAAAAATTCCTGTCGATCATCATTCCCTAGAGACTCATTCTTCGTCCTTCGTTCTTTCTTTTCTCTAACAATAATGTTATTAAGAATACGACAGATCTAAATTTCGAATTGGATCTAAGTCCTTGTAATTCAAGCAAAAGATTAATATTCTTTTGATATCTTTCCTTTCTGTTAGGATGACACTGAGTAATCGAATACTTTTTTATTTTTTTTATTTCCTGTAAAACGTAACTATGAGGTAGCAAAAATAGATTTCGATGTCATTAAATATAAACAAATTTATTAAGACAAAAAATAGGCGTGACTCCAAAAAATAAGTTAAAGTAAAATGAATTTTAGTGTCTCGTTTTGTGCATAATGAAGTTACTTGAAGCACATAATATTTCTTATAATTTTAATCATGACCCATGAAATGTTTATGATTTCAAAGAGTGGCGAAAATTACACTTGTCATTTGACATACACATACTTTGACATTTCAACAGCTGTTGGCAACACTGTCAACAGACGGGATGACAGACGGGGCTGTCGAATTTGTTTTGCAGTGTTGGAAAGAGCCAGCTATAACCTAGCACAGAAATTTTGTTTGTGTACTGTGAGCAAACATTGAGCTGTCAATGGATTGAAGTGTTTTAACTTTCTTGGCGAATGGCAATGAATGCTGATTGCATTGTTTTATTTAATCATCTACGCGTGCACAGTGTTTACATTGGAATTTCCCTCGTGTTTGTACGTTATGTCATGGATGTCGAGATTACTTTAGAATCGGCGAGTAGGTGATTTTACTTCAAAAATTTCTGAAATGAAGTGATTTGCTTGATTTCATTGGAAACCAATTGACAAACGAGAACTGCGAGCGAATGAAAATTAGATGACATCTAAATCTCGGTGATTACAATGTTCAACAAAACAGAGTCATCAAAAGGGAGTTTCCTTGAACAGACTAAAGCAGCTAGAGAAGAACGTGCCCAGGAAAAGAAAAGAGAAAAGGCAGCAACATGTATTCAAGCGCATATAAGAGGCTGGTGTGCAAGAAACAAATTTACAAAACAAATACTGTGAGTATATGTCATTTAATGTTCTTGATTCAGGGAGTATGTATCACATTAAAATGTATTTGCAATGAATTTATTATTATTTAATATTTTATTTCTATAGGGCTGAGTTTGATGAGATAATACCTAATGATGAACATCCAGAACTGAAACCATGCCTGCAGATATATCAAGTATCATGCAGGTTTTTATTTGTGTGGAAGAAAGAAAGAGACCATGAAAGATTTGAGAAACTGTGCAGGTAAGTCCAATGAAATGCTTTGTCAGAATTAAATCCAATGTTAGTAGTATGTTGTTGACAACAAAAAAGGAAACTTAACATAATATATTTAATGACGTTAGGTATCTTGTTGCCTCCTTGGAATCTGATTCTGCAAAATTAAGTTATGTGGGAGTAGCTCTCAACAAAGAATATTCTTTGGCATGGATTTCTCATATGAAAGAAGTTCTGTGGAAATGTTGCTGTTATCTGGATGATCTTCGGCCAGAAATACCTTCAGACATGAAAGTTATACTTCTTTATTTGCACACCTTGGTAGCATTTACTGCAACAAACACTTGGATTTTGCTAAAAGCGAAGCACATGGAAAAATTAAAACATGGAATGAATCAACTTTGTGCCAATGTTATGGGACATCTTTTCAACAAAGGTTTTTATGTGATCTTGAAGGTAAAGTAGTTCACAGATTAAATAATTTATTACTGAAAAGTATTAATAAAATTGTCAGCCTTGTGATGTTGTATTTACTGAAAAAAATTAGAAATTTTCACTAAGTAATTAAATATCATTGTTTTATGTACCCATTATATTGGCTTCATGTTTTTATTTGTTTCAGATGTTGTTGATTCGTGGTTTAGGAAGGGCAAAAATTAGCTTAAAACATGTTTCACTGTCGGCTATTGTTACTCTTGCAATTCGACCTTTGGTGTCTGCTAGTTTCTCAGAAAAGTTAATGACAATGTTTGTTATACATATTTTAAGTGTACCTGCTCTTATATTACATTTGCAAAATATGGCACCAGAGGTAAGTAAGCTCATACTTGAAAATTATATTAGTGATCTAGATATTAATGTTGTCAGATGTTAAATATTTCATCAGTAGCTTATATTTCTGTTAGATATTTGTATTACTTAAGCAACCTTCTCCTAATTTTTAGTGTGTTTCAAGTTTTGTTCAACATGATGTTTTTGCCAAAGCACTTGAACTTCTCTTTGTGGAACAAAACACAAGAATAGTTTTTAATGTGTTGGAAGGAAATTATTCACTCTGTCTTCTGGCAAATTTAATTCAACTGGCCTATATTCAGCGTGATGATAAACTGAAAGTTCTCTATTTTCCTACTTTTACGGTGAGTAGTTTTTGTGTGAATGAACTATTAACGTTTAGTGAAGAAAAGTTATAATATTTAATTCTGACACTCTTTCAGATTGTTGTGAGAAAGTTACTGGAAAGATGCCAGAATTATGTGGTGACCAAACAGTCAAATCTCACTCATTGGCATCCTGTTCTTGGATGGTTTGCTCAGAGTATGGATTATAACCTCCATGAAGCTATGCCTCATGTTAAGACCCAGTTGCATCTTCTGTGGAGTGTACAGTTTGTGTCAGTTCTTTTAGGACAGACTCTAGCAGAATTGGTTGAGAATGCAGATATTGTTCCTGAGACTCCCAGTCCACCTGCATCAACATCATCTAATATTTTGAGACGGGCTCTAGATCATCGAAATACCAGAAGTAGTGCACCAAAACATCACAGAAAAATTGGAAGTCCAGAATGTACAAAAGTGGCACATATATGTACGTTGTACCAAACAGCTCTAGGAACCCTTACACAGTTAAAGCTGGATATTCTTACAGGTGCGTGATGTCTATTTTATTGGTTATAGAACAAAAGAAAGTTAAAGGTAATGATTTTTAATAAAAGTGTTCTTTGTACTAAGTAGTTTGTTAAGATTTTGTTTTTAATTTCATTTTCTCCATCCATTTTTTAACATTTAGTGTTGTCATTTGTTTGGTAAAAGGTACTAGAATTAAATAACTTAATTGTTTTTGACATGTTACAGGTCTCTGCTATCAAGATAAAATTTTGTTTAATTTGTGGCTATTTATATGTTCCTTGGGAGGGAATTGTGGACTTAAAGCATTCCTTGATCATCTTGCTGCAAATACAAAAGAAATTACTTATGAATTTCATATGCTGATTCTATTTTGTGACTGTATGACTCACTATGTTACGTATGTGTTCATCTCTTATAATTCAACTTTCTTGACATTTTGTTTTCAAAGAATAATGGTTGATCTTTTTCTTCAGAATTTTAGATGACATGGAAATGTATGAACAACAATCACCATTTCGACTTCAAGATTATGTAGCAATGTCAAACTTCCTTAATAATTTTTTGTATAGAGGTGTACTTTCAAATCTGTTTGGTGGGTATATATTGTCTGCTTAATGTTGATTGTAGACATATTGGTTTTCTATGAACTTATTAATAACTTTCTTTTTAGATATTAAAACCTTGAATACCAATATTGTGTTTCAAATGGCTCACACTTTACTAATGGTTTTGTATCGAAGAGACTGTAGAAGAAGCTACACACCTGACAATCACTGGCTTATAAAAGATTTACGTGTGAACACCTTTATCAGTGACCTAGATAAGGGGAAAAAATCTTCGCAGGTAAATCATACAAATGAACAGTAATTAAATTTGAAAATTGTCAGTTTTATGATTGTTTATACCATAACAATTCTACTTAGATTTGTTTATGGTTCATATATTGAGTTTCGTATTATTTAGACTACACATCAAGATATGGCATAAACGTTATCATTTTGGAATGATGTAAATAGAGAATGTAATGGTAAGACTATATCATGTTGTATACATCTTGGACATTTGTAATTTATTAATAAATTGTGTACAGTGGACCTTGTGCATCTCACAATAGAAATCTTCTTGTGTTTTCAATTATACTTAAATTAATATTAGTAATGTTTAAATCTGGTTTTAGGAATATTTATGTTCCTTTTTAAAATTGAGTGTATATTGTGTCTGGACTAATTATTTAAATTGACAGGACAGAAACTTGAATTTTTTCCTGAATAACTGAATATTATTACTTTTTCTTTCTTTTTTTCAAGATTTTACTTCAGAAGATGCCACATATAATTCCTCATGATGAAAGAGTGCAGCTATTTAGAAAGTATGTTGCCAATGAGAGAATGGTTCTAGGTCTAACAGAGTCTGCATGTGCGTCACCTCAATCTACGCTTATTACTGTACATAGGTAAGGTAATATACAGTTTGTGTTTTTGATATTAAGAAGAACAGTGTGTATTAAAATAAATTGTAGGTAATTCTTAACTTTGATGGTGCTTGAAAGGGTGTAGTTTCATTGACCTTTTAATACCCAACTTGCCTTATTTTAGATTGTGATGTAATCAATATAACAGCTAGAAGAAATTTTACTTTCAAAATGATTACACTTAAGTCTTAAACCAAAATGGTTCTCTAACTTCACAATAAGAGCATAAAACTTCTTGTTAATAGTCTTTCAAGTTCCTTTCTGCCTCTACCGAGTACCAGGAAAGTCGCTATGCAGCAGCACCTTGCTGGTGAGGGTGCTAACAGTACAAATCAGTATGTTTGTAGCTTGAGCTGCAGATTGTAACAAAAGAAATCATAAATTGTATTTTCAACACAATCATATGCTGTAAGCATTGTCCCGTTCACTTGTCTCCCGGTGATTTGGTTCCTAAAAACATAAATGCATATTTTAATAGGATGCCCTGGTTCAAATCGATGTGGAGAGACTTTTCTGGTACTTAGGAAAAGTACATATTGACTGTATATTAACCTCAGAGTTGATTTAATTTACAATATTTGATAAATATTTCCTAAAAAATTGAATTATTTTTAATATTATTATATTTAATGTTTTTCTAAGTGCTTATGTATTGTAACAATTTTGATAAGAATGATGTGAAATTGTGAATAAGAATGTTTTTTAATACTTCCCTTATGCTTGTTATAGAAGTCGAATTGTTGAAGATGGATACCGGCAGTTGGCCTTATTGCCGTCTCAGGCATTGAAGGGAGTCATCAGAGTAAGATTCATAAATGAACAAGGTTTAGATGAAGCAGGCATTGACCAAGATGGTGTTTTTAAAGGTAATAGTTTGTATCCATAGTTGCATCCTTTCTAAAGTGAAGTAATTAATTGTTTTGTGAGTAAACTTTTTCTTTTATTGAGTGAATGTGTTTTAGTTTCATGTTTTGGTTGAAGATTTTGATACGCTATGGTGTAATTGTTATTGATCTAATCAATGAGTAATTCTTCCAAGACTTGCATTTTGCCAAGAAGTTGATCAACTATGGAGAAGAGTGGAGCTCATTTAATATTGTCAAGGAATACTACAGAAAATTTTGGAAGACTTACCAGTGGCTTTAATAACCTAATACTCCAGAGTAAACTTAATCTGGCACTGATAAATGAAATGTAAGCATCTGCAATGTCTATGTCCACACCGCTCTTTGAAGTTTGGTTTTGTAGGATACTGTGCAGTAGCAGCTCATGCATGTTTCTTGAGAAGAAATACGAAGAATAAACTACTTCAAATGGAAAACTTCAGCAAATTAGATTACATGCATTAACTTATCATGGGATAAAAGAGAAAGATCTATCAGTTCGGTTTGCTTGTTCAAAGAGCTTCTACCCATCCCATGTTGTGAGATTAGAGTCTGCTAACACCTCTGCCCACATCAGGAAGTGACCGATAATACAGTGGAAAGAGATGTCTGTAGATGGCAATGCGAGTCAGGGGGAGTTCTTCTTGTGTGCTGTAAGGCTCTTTTACAAACCTTTATCCTTCTGACCACAGGAGCACTGAGATGTTAGTTATTAACACAAAAGGGGAGGAAAGATCATTTTCGTCTTGCTTAAAAGCACACTTTGTTCAAAACATAATTAAAATAAATTTCCTCATCAATATTTACTAACTAATTGTACATTTTCCCCGTTAAACATAAAGTGAACATTCACCTTGGTAAATACTTTCAGAAGAAGAAAATATGTGAGAAGGACTTTCCTCCTATGAGAAACTGCCACTGCTACCATAGGGCAAGAATAGAACAAGATGAATAAAAACTATGGTAATTACTCCAAAATTGGCCACAAGATGTGCTTATGCCCCATGAAAACAATTCTCATAAATATTTGCAATTCTTCACAAGTTCAGTTACTAAAATCTAAACGTAAAAACAATTAGACCATTTTTTTAAAAAATGCAACGAAGTCCTTATTACAAGTAAATCTGGGGCCAATGCTTTGTAACTTAAATGAGGATTTACATTAAATGGGGATAGGGTAGTTTCAGTGACAGAAAGCTAATATTTGATATTTGTCACAAGCATTTACAATCACAATGACTTCTATATTTCAGTTCCTACAGCAGCAGATTTGGCGTATGTTGAAGTGGGTGGAATGAGTTATTTGGCATAAATGTTTGAATTATAATTGATCAATAGTGGAATAAGAGACAGTGGATATAATGAAACCTGCCACAAATCAGCTTTGTCTGCCAGAAATTCCACATGGATCAAAGACGAAATCAATTCTAGTCCCAGGAGTGGAAGAATCACTGTACAAAGGTGGAACTGGAAAAGTTTGCTTGATAGAATTCTTGACTCACTACAGATTTCACAATCAAAAGAGGGTGCCAAATATTCAGTGCTTAATAACTAAGGCCTGGAATTTCATGAAAAATCATGTTTTTATGAGCTTTATTATATGCTAATTATCAAATGTCTGCAAAACAATCAAGCAAAATAAATTCTGTGATTTTTGTGTAGAATAATAGTGCATATTTAGTGCATTTTGTGTTTATACATCATATTTCTATGATATTTAAGTTATTATTCATATTTTCTTCCTTTTTTGTTCTTAATGTGCCATATTTCTCGTGGAATTTCAATTGATATGCATACTTGTCTCCTCAAACCAAAAGTGACTTCACAAATGTGACTGTGTATGCTATGAGAAATAGTGGGCATGTCTTTCATTTGTTGCAGCAGAATTTGTCTAAACTTCTTTTAGATGATATCATGGCACATGTACCCGGAAACGCTTTGTCCGATTATGATTGATGTGATAATTTATCTTTGATAAATTTTGGCATTGTTGATACTTTGACAATGATGCATATTAAATCTCTGTATTTTTCTTTAAAAATTATCAATGGAAAACTAAGTGGAGACAAAAATGCAAAATTAATTGTTAAAATTAAAAATTTTGTAATTGTTCATGACTACATCAAATTTTAAATTATTAGAGCTTATTTGATTAGTCCTAGTGCATATTTAACAAATGTTTGTGCGTGTTTGCATGCATATTTCTCCTTTGATACAGCATTCTCTTCCAAGCATTATTTATAACTTATTTACTTTAACAAGAAAATATTAAAGATCATGAGCTTTCTAATATTGCATCAGATGTAAAGCATTTTAAACTAGTGGTACTATAAATCGGGAACAGACTTTCTCATATTAGTTTTCTATTTTCTTTGGTCTGGGCTAGCTATCTGGACTTGACATATACTCTTGTCAGCTACCATCTATCTCTGCCCAAAGTACCATTTTTTGAAATTTCCTCAATTTTTTGATTTCTTAATATTAGAACTGAAAGATTAATTTAAGAATTGTAAAGAAGAGTAAAACATTGTCCTATAAGGAAATTTTTGATTAAAACTTTGGAGCCATTTTTAATAAAATGGAATTTAAGCATTAGTGTATATGTAAAATTTTAAGCTCTTTTTTACAGAAACGTTTTGAGTTCTGGAAAACTTTATTGGAAATCATTTGAAGCACTTCCAGTCACAATTAGCACTATCTGTATGAAAAATTTGAAGAAAAAATGGAAACTGTTTTCGAGAAAATGACATTTGAGCGATTTTGAAAATGCATAAATTTGAGCCAATTTTCGCAGGATATTTTTTTTAGTTTCTGAGAAATTTTATAAGAAAACCTAAAAATACATTTAATCTGAAATGCAATAATGTGAAAAAGTTACCGCTAACAAAAACATTAACGACGTGAGAGACAAGATAAAAAAATTACATTTTTGTTATAAAAAAGTGGAATAGAGCAAAATGGTGTTTGTCGTCATTGAGTACATTCAGACAGTTCAAAGAAAAAATTTGTAGCCGTTTTTGAGAAAATCTTTTGAAAAATGAAGTTCCACTTTATAAGTGGATTGGCCTCTAGGCTTTCAAAATATTTGCTGGTAGTTTTGAGAAAATTATGAAAATGTCCCAGGGCCTTCATGTACAGTCCCTCCAAAATTTTAAAGACTTTTTTCTCAAAATCGCAAAGCATCGAATCGTGCCTGAACGCCCGGGCAATATACATTTTGGGGGGGAAATTAGGCGCTAGTATTGTTTACTGACGGGCTGACAGACGGACGGGTAGACTGACGGGCAGACGGACGGACGGAAGGCCAGCCAGCCAGACGGACGGGCGGGCAGTAATTGAAGTCAGTCATTGAAGGACGGACGGACGGACGGACGGACGAACTGACGGACGGACGGACGGCGGACGGACTGACGGACGGACATGAGAAACTAAAAATTCATCATAAATATCCATTCTTCTTTTAACAATAATTGTCAGTTGAATATTGAATTTTTGAATCATAAAATATAAAATAATCCATCTGTTTACTATGATGTACTTCTCAAACGTAACAAACACAACTATTAAAAAGTATTATGTGGTGACTTACTCGTAAGTAAGATTAAACTGAACATTGAAAACTTGAGTTAGGTTATTTTGACAAAAATTATTTTTTGTCATATCTGTAGTTCGTTTTTCAATACACAATAATTTTATTACACGGGAGCGAACATTTTTAGGTATCATAGTTTGCCTACAACGCTCGTTTCTATCATTTATTCTTCATTCAACCAATGGTGGCAAAGGAGTGGCGGGAGATATTCAGGGGCTCAAGAAAACGTTCGCGTTTAATATAATTAAGGGAAAAACCTTTATCTCCACTATTGTATTTGTAAGAATAAAACGATAAAAATCGTTATCAAAAACATGGATACTGTGTACATAGGCGTTAAAGGATGTAATTTACTGCATGTTGGATCAAGATTTGTCCTGTGAAGAGAAAGTTTTATTCAGATTCATATTTATACAGTCAACCAAAAAAAACACAGTAAAAACTGTATGTGACGTGATTATCTGCTCATGTTTTCTTGAGTTCCAGAATCCCTTAGTAGC